ACCTTTCCACTCCATCTAAAGCCACAGCTAATAACTCTTACAGAACATTGTCCTTCAAGCACAAAAGGGACAAGATGACACAAACTCTGTTAGGAACCTTCACAGGCACTTGCTGACAGCAGAGGACACGATGCTCCAGTTCCTGAGGGCCTGTTTCCAGAGTTTAATGTGCCACCTCTTGCTGATTCATACCCTGTGATCTGCACAGGGCCTGCAGGCAGGACCACGAGGTGGGACAAACAGAATTGGGACATCTCAAAAAAAAATAAAAAAAAATCAAAAAGTGAGGAAAAAATGGAATTAGTAACAATGGCACTGAGGGAGAGCTCAAGCTTTACAAACTTGTAAATGGAAGGTATTGAAGGAGCACAACAGAGTTTTAGCTGCCTCTGGTTTGTCTCCAAGTGGCTCAAAACCTGCCTTTTTAACCAAAGTCTCTCTGCTCCCTTCCTTTCCAGTGGTCCAAACTCCAAGCCTACGGATTCCACATGCTCTAAGCTGTCACAGGGGTCAAGAACCACCAGCTTTCCATGCCCACAATAAACAGCTGTCCTGTACATGAACAGCAAAACCAGGATATTCAGAACAGGCCAGATGAATGTTTGTGCACAAGACCAGAAGCATTAACTTGCTACATTCAAGCTTTCAGATTTGTTGGCATGGGCACAAGGGATACAGCCAAGACTTTCAGCTTCACAGAAACTCTGCCTGGGTACTTAGCACTGGAAACCAAAGAGGGAAAAAAATAAAAAAAAATTAAAAATCTACCCTCATAATTTTTATTCCTCCTGGCCCCATGCACATATGTGGAGAAAAATAGAAAGTATATCAAATAACATCTAGATACCTAGTGCCTCTGCTCAGCAAAAGGAAATTTAAATTTGAAAAGGTAATGTATTTTCCTTGCCAAAACAGTAAAATCAGTTATCACCGTAAACATTAAAAACAAACAATCAAACCCTCCCCCAGAAAAACAAAAAAAAAGCTACCCCACAAACAAAAAATACCCAAACAATAAAAAATTCTCCCAAAAAAGCCCCAAATCCCCCCCAAACAAAATAAAGTCACAAAACATGGAAAGTTTCTTTCCAGCTCATTTAAACCTGCAAACTTAGAAAGAATAGATCAGAAAATCTTAGAACAGAGGTTGCAAATAAGGATATGTTTAGTTCTACAAAACACCAGAATGGGAAGTCTTTCTAAAACCTTCATCCTGCCCCCTTCACAATCATGATTTTTTTCAAAGTGAAATTACTAGTCCTTAACACTGTTTGAACTGCTCATATCTGATGAGCAGACTAGTGAGCAAGCACAGGACCAAACTCACATGACTGCCTTTCCCACCCCAATACCCAGCTCTCTGAGGTGTTATTTGCCCTCAGATTTACATATTCAGATTTGGGATTGCAGTCCTCCATCGAGATTCTGGCACACTCAAAGTCTGCAGGAGAGAAGTGACACAGATTTGAGTTGAAATTCCTGAATTTCCCAACCCTAAATATTGCCAGCTACGTATATTTTGGTATATCTATAAAACCCTCAGGGTTTCCTCAGGTATCTCCCTTCTCCAGACACCTCACTGGTGCATTGTTAGGACTCTCAAACCTGGGATTTCAGCACTACACAACTCCCCAGAGTGGCATTTCCCCTTCTCTTTCCCCAAATGCAGAATGAATCACTTTCCCCCCCACACTTTTTCCCAGTTACCTTGCCAGCCAGCCTGGTCAGCTCTGTGTGACCTCTGCCTACACTTGTCTAAATGCTAATTTAATTTGACAACTGAGCTGCTCATTCTCCACCTCCCCAGTGCACCTCAATTCCTGATTACAAAATCTGAGTGTTAAACAGGAGGACAACCAACACTGTGGCTGGGGTCAGAAGTGAAGGGAAAGCAGGATTAAAACTTAGCAACCTGTATTTCCACCTGAATAACGATGACCCCTTGAATGTGTTTGTCCCTTGCCCTTCCTTTGTATTCCCATCACTTCCTACACTGGCCAGGATATCACAGGCTCTGGAATATTCCTTGAGTCAGTTGGGATCAGCTGTCCTGGCTGTGTTCCCTCCCAAATCCTTGAGCACCCTCAGCCAGGGTGGTGAGAGGAGCAGAGAAAGGCCTCGTTGTGCAAACACTGCTCAGCAATAACTAAAACATCCCTGTGTTATCAAACACTGTTTACAGCACAAATCCAAACTACATCCTCCTACTGGTGTTTTCTTACAGTGAGAAAAATCATCTCTGTCCCAGCACACTCACCTTAAAGCAAAACCCCCAGGGAGAAAAGGGGCAAAAATCCAGTCCCTTGTTCCATGCAAGCTATGATGACGATGATGATGTGACAGCCACACAGAGGGAATGTTTTTTTTCAGCTGGAATGAGTAATTTGATGACAGGATTGCAGCTTCTCCACCTACAAACCACAATCATGCAAATAACATCTTACCACTGAGACACCTATTTGTGTAAGCACGGGCCTAATCACTTACATCTGAGGCATTCAGAGGGTATTATTAGGGCATGATAAGGCTTATTAGGGATTAACACAGCGCTCTAAAGACACCACAACCTTCAGCTGCTCAGCAAGGAAACAAAATTGCAGCATCAGTGGCTTCACTTTCAAAATAAAAATATAAAAATGGCAGAATTCTGTACCAGATGCAGCCCCATTAGGCAAACCTATTTTTTTGCCACCCTCCCTTCCAACAGGGTGTTTTCTCTAAAAACTCCTGTTTGTGTCTGCCACCTGACAGACCTGATCATGTGAATCAAATGCATGGCTTCACTTCCCAGCCTCATTTTGCACCAGAAGGCTTAAATAACATGACTCTTCCCAAAAAACTGGCTTCTGCCTTGCCCCTTTTCATCAGGGATCCTCCCTGTTCTCCTCACCTGCGCTCTTAGCTCCCAGCTACCCTTGCCTTTAAGCAGGGCAGGACTCACAAGTGACATTCTGATCCACCTGGAAAGCAACAGGTCATTTCCAAACAACCCTGGAGCAAAGGGAATTCTAAACTGGGATCACAAGGCTCCCTCCTGCCAAGAGCAGTGGATGAATTTACAAGCCTCTCCCACAGGTGGCCACAACAAAGGGTTAATTTCAGCTCTCCATCCTGCTGCCCCTGCCTGGGAGCAAAATCACCCTTGTGCAGGGCAAACAGAGTGTTTGCCAAAAATGGAATGACCATTTGCCACAGGTTTTGAAGGCGACATAGGCAACACACCAACTAGACTTAGGAAATTGGGTTTTTTTGTGTATTCTGCCTCCTTTCTGTTTGTGTACCAGAGAGCCACTTACTGCAAATTCTGTGAAATGTGAAAAATACGGCTATGTACAGATTTAGCAACAATTTCTTACTGCAGCTGAAAAAAAAATTACAGCTTTCTTGATTTACAGTCATATTTAATATATTCCAGTAGCTTCTCATCTTAGCCCTGCTGCTCTCCCAAATTGAATGTTCCCAGGTTTTTGCAGCTTTCCACAGGTCACAGTTTAGATTTTAGAACACTCATGGATCACAAATTACATTCATGCTCGAAAAGCACAATCCCATCTGAAACAGTTGCCCAAATGGACTCTCCAGCATTGCTCCAAGAGTGTCCTGCACAATCCTGCCCTTTGCCAAAGGGAATTTGGTATTTTAACATGGAGACAGGGGAAGCAAGCAGCATGTTTGTTAACGTGAAATGCGTGCTTTTGGGCAGATCATCTCAATTCAAGCAACACAGAGACTCATGGAAATAAAAATCAAGTTACTTTTTTTTCCTCTCCACCTTTAGGCAGGAGGACCTCAGTGCAGTCAGACCACCCCAGAGTGCTGTACCGTGTCTGTATGGAATATGCCAAGGTACAAACTTTTGTTTGTCTCTTTCTGTCTCTTTTTACTGCCCTCCTTTTGTAACCTCGTCATCATCTCCCTCAGAACTGGTTTTAGAAGCACAGCACTACACAAAAAGCTACTGGGCAAGCTAAAAGAAAACAAGTAATTTCTTTGTCTTTGGAGTGTCCTCATGGATAAATACTAGTTCTGTTCCCAAATGCTCCATCCATCTCTTAGTTATACATCTAGAGTCCCGCCAAAGGTTTGCTCATTCTGACTCCCCATTTGGCCCTGCCGCTCCATTCCTTCCTTACTCTTGTAACCCTGCCATGCATTTCTTTTCAAACCACCAATTCCAGCTCCAGACACCTCACCTCAACCTCCCTAGGGAGATATCTGCCCCAGGGGTTCATCACTTTTATCATCCTGCTTCATATCCCACCCTGAAGACTATTTCCTGCCCCTTTTCCTATTCTGAAATCCCATTCTTCCATCCTCCAACAGAAGCCGGTAGTGCACCCTTTGCAGCTGGCATGCTTTCTTCAATAATGAACAGAAAGTGGGGAAAAAAAAAGAGATTTAGAGTAAAAACAAGGGAGTGGGAAGAAACGAGCTTAATTCAAAGATATGATTAAAAATACATGTCTGACTTTGACGAGACTTTGTACAATTCTACAGGCTTAGCCACACAGCCACGTGGGAGACACTGCCTTGTTTTTTTCATCTTTGGCTGCTGCACATTTAGAGTCAAATGTTTCACATTACAAGGACAGCAACCAACCCTTCCCCTGGGATGTCAAACAGCTGCCTGCTGGTGTATCTGGTTACTCCTAGTCTATCACATCTAAAATCTCTTATCTCAGGCAACAAGAATTTCAAGGATGTTGCTCCTTGGCCTCAGCACCGGCGAGTATTCACGTTTATGTGTGGAGCATATAAAAATAGAGAGATACCTATTTTGAAAGACACTTTGCATTCCTGGTCTCTGAGGCATAACTGCATGAGGCACACACGACACAAAATCTAAAGGACTGTTTTTAGCACTAGACTTCCAGCAAATGGAAGCACACAGCAGATAATGCTTTGTAAGAGCTCACAAAGGAAAATGCCAAAGCAAAGGGATGGAGTGGAGGGAAGATCTTCAGAGTACCACTATTAGTTATTCCAGACTACCACCATTATTGAAGAGCATGTATTTGTCTTTATTAGTTTCATTGCAGTTTGGACAGAAAATGCCATAGATGCTGGTGTCTTCATGAAAATGTGCTTTGAGTAGAACTGGAGTTAAATTGTCTGTCTTTAACATTTATTTCTCTTGCACAGGAGGAAAGAAATTGAGTCCACACAGAAACCCAAGAAGTTTCACAACCTTTTCCTCTCCTCACAGGTCTTATATTCTATGAAGAAATGTATCAATACAGAACTGGCACTTGACAATTAGCAGTATCAGCTACAGTCTGCAGATACAGGCATCAGCAGCACTGATCAGTCATGTATTTTGTGGTAACTGAATACTTAAATTTTTCCCATACATCACCTAATTACTGGTGGAATAAACCTGCTTTTCTGAATAGTTTAGTGAATACACAAAATTTTGTAAATTGTGGCTTCATAACCACGTAGTTGTGGTTATACCTGTGTTAGAATAATGCTTTCAAAGGATGGTGTGTTGAACAGTGTTGGCATCCCAAACCAGGCAGGGAAGAAGAACTAAAAGCTTTACTGACAAAGATGTTCTCCCCACTCCCACCTTTATTGTTTCCATTAAACAGGAGAGTATTTTTGAGTGCAGAAATTCTAGCTTAGTTTTGTGCACAGAGCTGGATTTAAGAGAAATCAGGGAAAAAAAAAAAGGTGTGGCTGCCTTCAAAACTCTTAAAACCAAATGAAATATCCAATGAAACTACAGGTGACAGATCTGCATACATTATTTGAGGACTTGGCTTTGTGTCTCTGCCTGATTCATTCATGAATGTTCTTGAAGTGAAGCTCATCCCAGCACTCCAAAATCAGAGTCACAGTCTGACTTCAGGAGTGATTATCTCGCATTCCCAAAAAGTTCTGTCAGAAACAGAACTTTTTATTTTTTTAGTTAGTGGGGTAAGAACAGGGCATTTGATCAGTCAAATTGCTTGGGTTTTAGCTGGATTCATCAGGCATCTCTGGACGAGGTAAATGAACCACAGCATTAAAATGCAGCTGTAGAGAGGACTTAAGAACAGACAACTACAGAATTAATATGACTTCAGAGTAACTTTTTAATCCCAATTAAAAGTGCATCATAAATAGCTTTTGTCTAAGCAGATATTCAGAAGTTTTACAACAAAGGTAAGGACTACAGTACCAAAACTTAGGAAGAAATACTTTATTTTCTCAGCTACTGTTCAGAAAGCCCTGAGGAAACTGATCCCCAAATCCCTAAGAGATCTGCAGCAGAGAAGCTGAGGAGCACTCTGTGCAGACAACTCCCGGTAGTACTTGGTAGAAAACGAGGCACAACACACCTAGGCAGCTTGCTCAGGTCACACCTCCTCAACACCACATGAATTCCATGTATTCTTCCCTTTTGGCAGCTACTACAAAGAGAGACACGATTCTCCCTGGCAAGTATCCCGCTATTGGACAGGTAACAGTTTTTGCTAGCATGTAAGTCAGACACCTGTTGTTCATCAGAAGTCACAAAAACACTGTTTCACTGCTGGAAAAAACGGGAACAGCATGACTAGTAAGGCTTCAAACACAGCAGCCATAAATCCCTCAGTCACTCAGCGTACAAAGTTACAAATGAACAAAGCTACTAGCTTTTTTTTTTTTTTTTTTTTTTTTTTGGCTTTTGTTTTGTTGTTTGTGGTTTTTTTTTTTACAAAGAACAAGCTCAACAGACTTTAATTCAAATACATTTATAATAAGTAAACATTTCAAAATCAAAATTGGAGGGAGTGGACTGAAACACCCAGACATTCTTGCTTTACTCTCCACCCTCCTAGAGAAGGAATGGTTATTTCTCATAGCAGTTTGATCAGTACAGAAGACTCCCACAAACCAAAAGCTTTTGTCTTAGTTAGGTATTAGCTATGTAGTAAAAGTACATTCAAGAAGTCCTTGTAGCAATTTGGTGTTTTTCACGTACCTGACAGCTAGTCCTTTTACAGATAACAAACAGCCCCTTTCTGTGGGCAGTGTTAAATCAAAATCCATCTCTCCCAGTTCACAGATAAACTGAGAATCCTATTTAGATGAAGTCCACTAGCTGATTCAGGTATTAATGTTAACTTCTCTAATGAAAACATTATGAAAGACTTATTTCCTATTTAGCAGTATCACATCTCCTACTGATAGATTTGGGTTGTGCTACTGATCACTTAGACAATATACACCTAAGAAATTTTAAAAGAATAGAATCTGAATAATTAAAATACACACTATCTGGAAAAATATCACAGATGTATAAGAATAGAAAAAAAAAAAAAAGTAGAAGGCTTTAATGCATTTGTTTTGTGCAGATAATATTTTTACAGACTATGGCCAATCAATGAAGAAACGAAATACGAATGTTTCAGTCTTTTTAGCTCTTTTTTTCAAGACACTTGACTTGTACTTTGAGCTTAAGTAGTAGTTAAGTAGTTAATCCACTGATAGACAAACTCAGCAGAAAATAATTTTTTAGTTGTACCACTAAATCACTAAAATCATTAATCTCATTAGTTGTACAGGAGTTCAGGGCTGTACCACTAATAATATTTTTTCCTGGTTACTGTAGAGGTAAGTTTGTAATCCAGGTAATTGGACTACAACAGTAGAAAAATCAAACTATCCCCATGTTATGTTCAGGTAACGTTGCACAGAACAGCTTTAGATTAAATTTACATTTGTTTTTATTCCTAGTATTGCAATGATGGGCAAAATTACCTCTAAAAATAAACATGTATTAAAAAAAAAAACATTGTTAACATTTTATGATGACTAAACAAAATAAATGGTAAGTAGAAACAAAGAAGTAAGATTCAAAACTCTGTAACCAGAGTTTATTTTCCATAGAAAGTTTCGAGTGTCAATTTTTTTTTTTTTATTTTACATTGGAATAAATTGATAGTTTCCTTGATATCTCAAGTTTTGAACTTCTCTTCCTTATAAAGTGAATAAATCCCCAAAAGTCCTTACTTAACAGAAATAGCTTGAACACTACAATCTACTCAAGAGCAACAGAACACTTAGAGCTGTACTATAAAAGCTGGTTCAACAAAGTTGGGAAGGTGAAATTTGATTTGATAAAGTCTCATTGCAGCAGACAAAAATGAAGCTTGCATTTTGTTTGCTGGCAGAAAAAGAATATTCAATTCACTAGAGTGCATATAACAAAACCAAACATGCAATCTATTGCTTTTAAAACTTTTACTGCAAGATAACATTAAGAGAACAGTAATTAGATATCTATATTTTTTTTTTTTCCCAAAGAGAAAATATGTAAACAGGATAATAATTTTTTTTCTGTATGTATATAGTTTCTCAGATCATTTCAGGGGGACAAAGGAGGGGGTGGTGTTTTGCAATAATCAGGACACTTTTAACTGCAGTGGGTTTTCAATGGAAAAAAAGTAAAAAGCCAACACTGTTCTAATTCAGCATTAGACAAAAATAGTGTGTTTCTTGCACTACTTTAACACAGCTGAAGAAAAAACCTGAATACCCCTATTTTGGCATTCAGGATTACATTTGCTCAGATTTTTAGATTTCACAAAGCTGCTATCCAGTGTTGCCATGAAATACAGACTGTAAAATCTACGTAGCACAGGCTACTTCCATTGTCAATACTAAGTGGAAAGGAACATGAAGCAGTGCATTACACTACATTTCTGGAACTAGTACAGTAAGAGTTTAAACCTAGAAAAAGTTAACCTACAGGTTATAGAAGGAACTAATTATCTGCAGAAGCTGATTTTTTGGTTGTATATATATATATGGTTGTTTTTTTTTTACACTGTGCGATTTTCTGCTAATTTAGAAACAGACATTTAAGACTGGTTGCTTTCTTTGCTTTGTTTCCTATGTTCTCCCTTCCACCCACCCCCTATTTGCCATACACCAAAGCATAATGAATATAAGCCCAAATATCCTAGACAATCCAGTGAACAGAGTTAGTGTAATGCACTGGTGTGAGGTGTGAAATAGAAAATTCTCTCAGTCTTCGTCGAAGTTCTGCTGTAGAAGAAAGTTGGCAGCCAGGTTTTCATTCTTCTCACAAGCGAAATATGCCTGTATCACAAGTCCTTCAGGAAATCCTAATGCCTTTAACTGAAGAAAAGAAACATATTTAGGAAGTACATTTTGCGTGTCAGGCTTCTTTGTATGTCTAGTGTCTTGAGATGTCACTTAAGCAACTACTGCCTTCTTGAAAATATTATTGCTGCCTACTTCAAGGAAGACTTTAGCAAGTAAAAAATGAGGTGCTGCCTCTGCCTCTAGTAAAGAGGATCCTCACTTTAAAATATGATTGGATTAAGTCTAATGAAGCATCATAAAAACTTGTCACTTCTTTAGTGACACAGCAAGTCTAAAAGAGACCTGGGTCATAATATTGTCAAGAAGTAACGGTACATTGCACTGCTGCAGAAAAAAAAAACCAAAAAATAAAACAGAACTTCAAACAAGCTCATTTTAAACAATTATATAAAGCTTTAAAGCACTTTTAACAAAAAATTGCCTGGCACAAAAGCTCCCAGCCTGTGATCTTGTCCAGCACATCACATTAAGCCATATTTTCAGTTGTTTATCTTAAAAAATTAGCTACATGCTGCAGCCAAGAGAAGTAAGCTGAGAGCAATCTAGTTTTCAGAAGTCAAAGAATTAATTAATGTCTGGAATACAGTGACAACAGGGCTTGAGAACACCAGAGAAGAACTTATTACTGTGCCAAGGGTTTAGCCAGCACTTAGGGGCACTCAGCAAATGAATTCTCGTTTTAGCCAAAGGCAAGTACACTCCACTATTTGGAGATTTTCTTAAAATCCTCACAGCACCTCCAAGGCACTTCATGTATGGGGCAGTTCAAATAACTGTGAGAAAAAAACTGTGTCCTATTATCCCTCACCAGCCATCCTTAGATTTTATATTTCAGTCTCACAAACAGCATGAAGGCATCAGCTGGCAATACTAAGACACTTGAATTTTGACGTTTGTCTTTCATGGAAAGAGAAAGAAGCGTGTTAGGATCTTTGCTGGGTTTTAGAATAGGTTGTAGAGGTAATAAAGCTCTACTGCATTAAATGGCTTTAAAAGGAAATACGACAGATTAGAGATGACATGTGGAAAAGTACATGGACAAATAATTTTATAAGACTAATTTTAATAATTGCCAATTTCCTCAAGATGTAGAGAGCTGACACCTATATACAAATAGGTATATTCTAATGATTTTTACATAAACTTTTGTTTTGCCAGATTAAAAAACATTGTCTTTGGGGTGCCAAACCACTACCACAGTAGAACAAAAGTCTTGCAATTTGTCCTGAGAAAAACCTCAGAGGCACTGCCATCTATGTAAATCCATATTTAGTCAGTTACACAGTATTTATGAATGTAATACACCACCTCTGAGTATATTTTCATGCTTACCAGTACTTTTAGAAAACAATAATTAACTAATTGTCATGGACAGACAAATAACTGGGTTTTGACTTCAACTAATCTACTTAACTATGAGTGTTTTTACTTTCTGAGTACTTTGCAAACAGTGCTTAAGCAGCCAGATCTTTGTACCTGCAAACCTGTCATGGCATGACCTAGAACAGTACTGGCTGAGGCTTCTGCTACTTCCTTCTACTTTTTGCAGAAGTAAGAGGAATTACTTCCTGAATAATTCCTGAGCGAAACCCATTCCAATATCTCAATTATCACAGGATGGTCTCTGATCACTTAAAATGCTCTGCCTCTTCTCAGTACGACGGATTTCAGATATTTTAGACTCAACTGCTATAAAACAAGAAGAGATATAATTTGAAACAAGGCTACAACAGCTATGAAATGCCAACTATGAAAATACCAAATATGATGCAGAACTACTGAGCTAAACAAAGTTTGTCTTAGACATGCACTGGAGTCAACACCCAACAGCAACAGGAATTTGAAAGAAGAAAGACAATTTCAAAGAAGAAAGGCTCACCCTTTCTATAGCTTCTTTCTCCTGAGGTGTTACTTGAATGTAGTTCATATGAGCATTCCCAGCATCTCCTATTCCTCCAGTGCTGGCACCATCATCACTGCCACTTAAACCTTGGCGAGACTCTAGAACTGGCTCATTCAACATATGAATAAAATGTTCCTGGTGCTGGCTTATTTGCTGTGATGCACAGAACAGTAAAAGAAACACATACATTTAAGTAACAGACATGCAAAAATATTTGTTTTCAGAGAATTAAGAAGTCAAAGGGATGCGTAAAAAGTGCACAGAAAATACCTGTTAAATGTAACCAGAACAAATGCAATTTTTATGTTTCAATTCAAATGCAGTGATCCTTTCCGCCTCCTCACCCCCTCTTCACCTCATATATCAAATTTATATCTAATAATAAGATATATACAGCAACAATGTATTATATTTTTATGCAGCAACAATGCTGAAAAGCCAGCAATAGAATGTTGTAACTGCTAGTAACACATCATCCCAGACAACATCAACACATGACTCTCCTACATCAGAATTAGTAAGCGTTGTTTTCTTGTTTTAAGATCCACCTGCAGTAGTTGGGGGTTTTCCCGTCCAATCTGCTGTAGCAATGCTGGCAACAGAGAAGGATTTTGCTGGATAATTTGTCTCATCTGCTGGAACTGAGGCTGATTTCGTAAAAACTCAAGTGGATGTCCTGAAAAAAAGACCAGAGAAATAACATGTTTTTTAAAAAGTTACTGAGAATCTTAAAATGCATACCTGCACTGTAATTGTAAATAGAAAAAGGACATGAAAGTGGATAATACACCACTCACTGAAGAATAGAATAATTTGCTTCTTCACTCTATTTTAAGCAAAACTTCCTTATTCTAAGGTTAAACAATGCATTTCCTTTCCACCCAGTCTTCTTTTAAGATCCAACAGCCTTGTCCTTATCTCAAACACTTTACTCTGGATGTCTCATCTCTGGTTAATCTCAGTCAGACACATCTACCCAAATCTTGACTGTCTTGTCTCTTGTATCTTGAGCACCATTTCTACCACAGCCTAAAACAGACCTTTCCTACCGCTTCATTAGGCTCCTTTCATGTGTTTGTCTATCTCCCTTTAAGAAGGAGATAAATACATGATAAATACCCTTCTCTTCAGCAGGCACCAACCACTGTCAAAGTGCTGCAGTGCTGAGTGAGGAGTCCTAGGTCATTTATAGGTCTCTCCAGTGCTACACTTCATGGCCTAATTTCAGGTTTCTCCCTCGATGTGCCAGCTTCTATGTGGCAAATATATTAATATATCATAGTGGGCAGTGCCCAGTCAGTCAGAGAGTGGAAACCCAGAGTAAACACAACCCCTCCCCACATTGTGGTCTTGCACTTAAGAATCCAGAATACTGGACTAAAGAACTTGTGCAAGCTCACTGCATTTATGGAAAGCTTTGCGTGTGACACAGAACAAGCTACTTGATCCAAGAAAGCACCACACCTGGACTTTCCATGTTAACAGCTCTTATCCAATTCCCTCTGAACAGCTCAAGAGCACCTGGAACTTAAAACTGACTGAAAAAAGAGATTGATTAAGTGCACATTATTCATCACATCTTCTCAAATACAGCCTTTCTTACCTCCTAGTGAGCTAGTAGTCGTGGGTATAGTTGCTACTGCTGCTGCCACTGCTGAAGACTGAGATGCACCAGTGCTTGGTGGTTGAGGGGGGTCAGCCACAGCCTGATTATCTCCAGGTATACCCTAAAGCCACAGTTCACATCATTACCCACAGAATGCTAACAGATATGTTTCAACTGCATGCAGTTATTTGGCTTTCAAAACGGAGGGGAAAAAAAAAACCCTTAATGCTTTCACTGCAAACATAAGGCAAGATCCTGTGAGTTATGCTTTTATAACTGACAGAGAACACCATGAAAAAGTTTGATTTTATTTTCTGGCAGGAAAAATGTGTGGTTTGTATAAAGAGGCAGCAAAGCATGCCCTGCATCACTTTAAAACACCCTTTGCCTTATAAAAAGTACTTGCTTTGAATCCTGTTTAAATATATTTGATACGAGTAAAAAAGTTAAACTAAATACCATTACACTATGTTATATTGTTGTGCAAAAGTGACATTACAACAACAAATTACAGCACAAAATGCTAACTTAAGATTAACAATTCCATACAACTGGCAAGGAACGAGAAGAGATACAAGAACACAGCTCTTGGGACCCCTTTCCCCAGTGAAAAGCTGTAATTTACTGTATTTTAAAGGTGAAAAGGTCTGTATGTCACCCAGCTTTAGCAGTTTAAAAAAGAAAAAAAAAGTTAACTTGCCTTTTATTTTCTATGTACAAGCAACTTTATATAGGAACTGACAGCTCAGATGGCTGAAATGCACAAAGCTAAAACACAATACTATAATAAACTAGAAGCTGGGTTACACAACCATGATACCTCACTCTACCACTTTTCTCCTGCATGGAAATCCCTCAAGCTTCCTACCCTAACCCTGCCTTCCTTGCTGCCACTGAACTCCTGCACCAAGTCTGTCCTTTCAATCTGCCTGTCTGAAGCCTGCAAGCTTACTCCTGGGAGAGACACAAAGAATATTACAACAAACCCCCTTGGAACAGCCCAGACAAGTTACCCAAATAAGGGTCAGCCTTGTGCTGGGGAACCACAAAACGTAAGGAACTGGGTGGGTGGAAATATTATAGAACTACAGGGTAACCAGTCAGTGAAGAGGTTTGTCAAGCCTACCATAAAAATCACTGGTAGGTAATGTAGATTAAAAGTCCTGCTGTAACATGATCTTCACATGGTATATTCATCATTACACCTGAACAAAAAGGACAAATATACAGCTAATATAAAGGACACATCTAGAAAGGGAGAATTGGACAGTGCTCCAAGCAATGCTCTTTGCCTTACCTTGTTTATTAAGAAGCACATCAAGGTATAAATCACCTGGTCATCAAGTACATATTTAAGCCACTCAGGGGAATAAATGCAAGATTTCCCTGTCACACACTTCATTACCTTCACACAGCTCAGTAAGCTTGCTACACATCCCTCCCTCCACTGAGGGGGAGGAGGATTCCATTAATGGTGTAATTCTGAGGAAACTCTCCCTTATCAGTGGCTTACAGAGCACTGATTAAATACCTTTTCCATCAAATCAGTAATTTCTGGCAATCCAAGTATAATGTGACAACTTGGGTTAATCTTATGAAATTACTAGTTGATTTCACCTATTCACAGGCGTACGTCATCACTGCAATCTGTGTCCAGATCAAACAGCATGTGCTTATTTAAACTTTCAAGTTTGCTCTTGAATGGAAGGACTGTGTAAACCAGCTCAAACAATTTACTTAGAAATTATTTGTCGTCTTGAACATCATCTTAACTTCCGAAGACAAGCTTGAATTATCACTCTCCAAATAATGGAGACTGTGTGCAGCTGTTATCAGACAATGCCAGTGAGGCATGTGGACCTTGTTCACACAGCTACACAACAAAATAAAACATGGTATTAAACCACACAGCACAAACCACTCTGAATGCAAACACTGCTTGGACAGCAAAAAAAGGCCACTTTTTTTTTTTGCTCTTGCCTTATGGTGGATGAAACAATTGTTTACTGTTTAACTGAGCAGTACAGTGGATTTTGGCTGACAGTGCTCTCTGCAGGGCAATAATTACATCAGGTCCAACTTCTGCACAGAATACAGAACAAAGTAGTTCCAGTTGGGAGGTACTTACAAGGATCATCTAAGTCCTACTGACTGACCAACTCATGGCTGACCAAAAAGTTAAAACCTGTAAAGGGCATTGTCCAAATGCCTCTGAAACACTGACAGGCACAGGACATTGACCATCTCTCTAGGAATGGTGTTCAGTATTTTACTACACTCACTCTAAAAAAATGCTCCCAAAAAATATCCAAACTAAGAGGCTGGTTATTGAAGAGATGACAAAACTCCTTCCTAACTAGAGGTTAGGAAACCCTTGGCTGAAAGAGAGATCTGAATGTAAATGCCACCAAAGATGAGTCTGGGGCATAGAAAAATAAAGATCATCTTTTGCAACTCCTTCTACAACCGCAGGATTACATCTATAATCCTCAATGACCAAACCATGAAAACTGAAGAGCTTGCCATCTGAACCATGGAAAACAAGTAGAAACTTCAGGGGTTGTCTTTAATTAAAGAGATAATAATCTTATCCTTGCTGTACCCAAGTTCTTTAAACCTGGACAGTGTTGCTACAGATCTCAAATGTCTTAATCTTAATCTGCAGATTATATAAAAGATAGTGCTGGTGATAGTCTGTAGGCAAGTAATGTAGAGAGAGGGTCAAAGAACAGTGTCATCAACAGAACAGATGAATAGTGACTAAAAAGAACCTTTTTCTAATGCAGCAGGAAAGTAAGGAACATCTTCAGACCACAGAAGATCCAGAACAGTTATAAAGATGACTTACAGCAAGAGGATTCTTCTAGAAGGACAGCAAAAAGTCTGCCATCTAATATGATCTCCAAGAGCAAGACCATTCCTCCCTACTCCCTTTCCCAGCAGGAAGAAGAGGAAGAAAAAATAAAAGGTATTTCCAGTGAAGGATAACACAAAACGTAGAGGGACATCTTACGTAACAGAAGGACCCATTTTATATACAGGACCTACTGAAGGACTAGAAATTAACTGCTCCTAGCAGTCAAAGCACTTGGCAGATGTGACATGCAGCTCCTTCACAGGGATATTCTATCTCTCTTCTGGAGTTCCTGAACAGAAATAAGCTAGAGGAGGGAAATGACAGAAGCTGAGTGCACAAGAATTGCATGATGCCACACACACAGCAGACCCCACACTTAGGGGAGGCACTGAACTCATAGTGTATTTACAGACTAGATGAACAGTAAACCCAACATTTTTACAACATGGATAACAAATGTCTGAACTTTCAGATTTATGACAGAATTGAGAGCTTTTGCATTCACCTTTGCTTGGCCTAGTGCTAGTTGGAAATTGAACTTTTCACATTATTGTACTCAAAACATTTGTTGTCACTTGAAAATTTGAAGATTACCAAGTTTTGTACATTTGGGAACATAAATGTAACTAGGAAGCATGCCAGGGACTTGTAGCTGTAACTACTGAAGGAAAACTTCATTAACAAAATTGAAGTTTTATAACTAGAGGGTAAAGATATCAGATTTCTTATCAATCAATCAGAAATTCAATACACATGTATTTTGCAAGGATTAGGTCAAGATATCTGGATGCCAGATTTTAATAAAGTTCAGATCTGCTAAAAGGAAAAACCCCATCAGGGAAAAAATGGTATGCCAGAGTGAAAATTAAATGTACTGGAAATACTGATTAAGCAACAAAATCAGACAGATTCATTCTATGGTGGTTACAATTCACCTGTCAGATTAGGGTATACCACAATAAACGATCCAAAAAGTCCCTAAAACAACACATAGGGTTTTCATTAAAGTGAAATTACTCTTCCATTTCCTCTCATGCCAGTGAAGTTTGTTTAACCCTTCAAGCTTTATTTATCAAATGAAAATTGTTTCTTCTCTAAAACACTGCTGAAACGAAAACACCAGTTAAGAACAGTTTAAAAAAAAAAAACCTCTCAAAACTTTCTGCTTGGAAAGTATATTAAGAACACTGTGCATTATTAGCAAAAACAGTGTACTGGAACCTAAGGGTAACAATATAGATACAAAAGTATAACTAATCAACTAATGCTGTCACAAAGGTAACAAAACCACTGAGCCAACCATTGGCAGTTAAAGCTATCACTGTAATTGGACATACTTTACAGACATATCCACATCAATCAACAAAAAATGAAAGCAAAGAAGTGGTAGAAGTGGTTAGGGATTATTCAGTGTTTTCTGTAACACAGCACGTCTGTCAAAACTTTGATCCCATCTTTCCAGATGGCAAATGTCACTCTGAGTGACTGAGTCATGTCCAAAATAACACCAAAATCAAAGTGAAAGGCACTACATGGGAAACCAAAACTGAAAAAAAGAAGGTGCAGTAAGCTAAGTGCTCACCATCAGAAGGTATTCCACCGCTCTGTCAGGATTGTTGTAGCTGGCCCTCAGTGCTGCAATCACCTGCTCCCGCTCGTAGCCCATGGACATGATCTCAGTCACCATGTTCTCATAGGACTGTCCAGTCACTAGAAGTCACAGGAACACCATTTTAAGGGAATAAGATGAAAATAATCACACGCAAAAAAAAAAAAAATAAGGGTAAGTGTAATTTCTACCTGAATTTCAGTCATTCATTGCGAAGAGTACTTCATATTAAACATGCCATGGTTCTGTGGCTTTAATTCCAAAAATATTCAGTGGTTTCATTATGAATTTGATTGGAAATAGTGGAAGGTAATGAAGAAAATTCAAACCTCTACTGACAAAAGCAGTACTTGTGATACTTCTGTACTTGTAACTGAAATAATGTTCTCTCTTCAATGTTTTCATTTAAGGTCAAGGGCATCCTCACAGCTAATATTCAATTCCTGATGTAATCAAGAGAAGTCTCCTGCAGCTTACATTTGGAAATGTATTCATTTGAAATCTGCCTATCAAATTATTAGCCACTGAGGATTTTCCAAATAAAGACTTTCTGCTATGCTGTTGTTAGACAGATGACAATTAGTGATTATTATATATTATATATTGCTATATATCACTATGTGACGGTGATGATGATCAAAATAACTCAATTTAAGGTGGACCAACTCAAATCACGTAGAAGACTTAGAAGTTCTATCTAGGAACATCATCCAAGACCTCAGTGGGGGGTTCAGGAAACCAAGTTATCCCATTTAATTCTTATCTTACTCAATTTAACATTGGACAAGACATCCATGCCATCAAATCCCCCACCTCTTACAGCAAAAAGAGATGAAAACTGTCCCACACCTGCATCAATCAAGACAAAAGGTACATACATTGTATATGGAGCAACTTAAGGGCAACTGTTCACTAATGTAACTGTAAGGAAGACTATTATCTCTTTTCATAATCCATTTAATTTTCCTGCCTCAAAAGCAGGCAGCAAGCATATAAATTAAAAAAAAAAAAAAGAAAAAAAAAAAAAAGATAACTATTCTATTATACATTGCAATTGGGCAAGTCTTCAAGGTTATCTTCCTAGGGGGCAAAAAAAAAAATGCAAACAAACCCAGGCATTAAAATACCTTCTTCCTTGGATTAAGGTATTCCTGATCTCAGTGAAATCCTACTACTGACTGACTCTGCAAATATCAAGTTAGTGACAAGAAAGTTAAATAATTAACAGTTGTCATAAAAAACCAACTGATTAATAATAATATTTTTTTAAAAAACAGAGGAAACAAATACAAGAGCTACTCTGCTAAGGGAAGTAAGTCATAATTAAAAGAGCCAAAGAAAACATTATGTTTTATTCCCTTAGGGAGAAGGTGTTTAACTCAAGCCAGCATTAATACAACCCCACTGCCTGTTTTTTAACATGTGCTTCTAAATAATCAGTAGGTGTATGACTTAGGGCAGTATACTCAAGAACAAACAATAAAACAGCCCTAGCCCAAGGGTACTTGTGCATTATCCAGAAATAAAGGATTTAAAAGCCTTGACTAATTTGAGTATTTATTATTTGGGCTTCAAAGTAATAGTGCCTACCTGAGTTTAAGAAATAAGCTCTTCATGTCTTCATACAGACCTACAAGATCATCTGCCTACATTTTTTCAGATGTGAAATAAAAAAATCACCAAACCTTGCTCTAAAGATACATACTTCTATTTGTATCTTCAGGGGAGCAAAAAAAAGCCAAGCCAATAATTGTCCCAACACAATGATTTTATTACTTCTGCTCACATTCTTCCTTACACCCCACTAGTTTACCCTTACCACTCCTAAGAAAGTAACCAAGCAGACAAAACACCTGTAAATGTAATTAGTTACTACTTGAACATTGCTTTTTCAGTATAAGCAATGAGTATTGCTTTTTCAATATAAGCAAATATATTCTTGCTTATTATGGCTTGTATTTTTTGCTTATATTTTGCTATAAGCAAATAAGGTAGAGACTGGAACAGTATGAGATTTGATACAGGAAAAAGGTGCAAAAAGGCTGGCTTGCTCTGCACAGGCTGCTACCTAAGGCATAATTAAAAGCCAAAGGAGGAAAACAGAATTACTGAAAATGTAAGTGCATGTACTCCATGCAGCCTGCTTCACAAAGTGTGCAGGAACGAGATCAAGAATAACAATTCAGAAGTTGCACACCAGCAATGTCATCATACAGAGTCAGGCCTCTCTGTCCCTAGTGCTAGTGGAAATGTTTGAGGTCAATGTTGAATTGATTCTGCTCTTTGCTTTTGTCTTTCAAATAACATTTTAAAGCTGGATTAATGCTCAAATCCAGTGCATCATACTCCCCACAGTAATTCTCATCCTATGCCTCAAGAAATCTTAGGCTCTTCCTGTGAAAGATGTGGTTGCACAAGGACTGCAAGACGTGCAGATCCTCACATAATACACAAAGCCACATCACTTTTCAGCATGTAACTGAAAACAACAGCAAATCATAGAAACCAATCCCTGTTTTCAAAGCAAAGTCAATTAATTTCAGACAGTGTAATTGAGAAGCAACAGCTAGAATATGTATAGGATCCAACTTAGAATGTGAAAACATACTTCATCAATTTGTGCAAGCAAATGCCTTTCAGGACAGTTTTTAAAGGAAAAGAACCACAGAGTTCATATCTATTGCCCTTAAAAATTTTTGGCTGACAACACTTAAATCACACTCAATACCTCTTATTTCCAAACATGTCAGGTTTGTCTGATAGCTTTACTCCATCAGACACCAACCAAAGAACTCTCATATAAAATAGATGGTGAGGTAATGTTCTTGAAATATTTTGGGTTTTTTTTCCCCAATTTTGAAGAGATTTGAATCAAGATCACCAGCTTCAATCAACTTGCTGATAACACTGTTAAACACTTGTGTTGGTGATGACCTCATCTTGGCCACTGAGATATTATGAATAGTTAAGGAAGCACCTTCACTTCAGCCACTTTAGTTTTGTTTTTGTTTAGTTTTTGTCTCCTGCTATCAGTATCTATCAGCTATTTTGGATGATACAATTTAAAACAGTATGTCACACCTAAGATCTAAGCTGCAGCTGGAGAGACTAAATCAAGTTGCTACCACTAATTCATGTAAAATGTTACTGCTGCTTCTAAATCACCCTGAGCTGCTTAATCACAGCACCTACCTCCAATATATCCACACAAAAATTTAAGTGAAAGTCTTAACTTGGTTTTACTCTTTGTACCAAATTGCAGCCTCATATTTAAAGACAAAAGACAAATTAAAAACCCCACCTCCTCCTTATTTCTGTACCTGAATTTGTTACACTCCAAAACAACCCAAAAATTTCATCAGGAGTAAGGAGCTGTGGGTTTGTCTAATAATTTTCTAGCTCCCCAAATCAGCATAAGTGAGTGGCAGACCTTCCTGTTGTCTTTATTCTGTCTATTCCACTGAGAAACAAATATTATTTAAATTGTCAAAATAAAAGTAAGTTGACTGTAAATACATGGAGGCATTCATTTCTCAGCCCAGACAGCAGCAGATCTGGTGAATTTATCTAATCTCAATGTGTCAAAAAGCAAGTACTTTTAAAGCTGGAACAAGTGAATAATAAAGGCAGCCATTTTATCAGCCCTGCAATCTGTGGTGCAAAAGTGAAAAGCACACACATATTTAGATCTAATCTTCTATTCAAGCTACTTCAAAGTGAACAGTTTGAGAGAAATTAAAGCAAATGGGGGAAAAAAGCAGGAGTGCAAGGATCTTCCTTTTACACAGTAAGAATATGTAAAGGGAAATATTGTTCAGTAAAGTAGCTCTTGAAGCTGGTTCCAAGATATCAAGTTCAGTTCTTAGAGAAGAGCAATTTGATTGTAACTTTAGCAATGACAGATACAGAAGAAAATGTCAACATCTGCTAATCCATCGTGTTTCTGCTGCACCAAAATAATGTCTACATTAAAAAAACTCTCCACTTACCAAGTGCACTTATAGCATCCTCAAAAAGATTTGATCGAGATGTATCACCTGTTGTACTGTAAGATGAAGACAAGTGCAATGGTAATTACAAAACTTTGAAAAACTTCCTGTTTTGTTTTTTTTTTTTAAACAGCAGCAGCTGTAACTCTAATAGCACCTTTTGTTTCTGAAAAACCAACAAAGCTTTCCAAAGAGCTCTCTTTTGGTCCTACAGTGAGAATAGATTTTACAAACTTACAATGCTAGCATTTTTAACACAAGGCCAACCTTCCCCCGCTACCCCCCAGAAGTTTGGCTCTTGCCCATCTGCTCAGGGATTAGCCATCTGCTTGCTTGAATGCTTTAAAGGGTGGGAGAACAAGGTGGATTTTTAAAAGCACACAGCAGTCTCACTAACTGCTTCCCCACAGTCACCAGTTTGACCTCAATGAAGACCCAAGGAGGTAGGTGGCAAGCACTTATTAAAATCTCTGTATACTACTTTCCCAGAAATATAAACTGCTAACATTTGCAATTACTCCATCTCAAGTTATCAAAGTTGTTAAATTACAGGATTAAAGGCTCACCTCCTTGAACAGCAAGGAACACAGAGGCACAGCACTAGGCAGAGGAATACCAGCCCCATTCCCAGGGCTGCAAAATTAAATTATCAGCCCCTTGGTCTTGGGATGGCACCTGGGGTGGGTCAACAGGACTCCTTCAAGGGCATTACAGCCTACAGAGTGGTACAACTCAGTGTGGGGTGCCAGGAAAAAGTGTTTGGGGGGAAATCTAGAGGAAGAACCAAAGGCAGGGAAAGGAAAGCTTAAGGCACCATGCAGAAGAAAAGCACAGGTCAAGAGAGCAAAAAGAGGATAAGAAAGGCCAGTCATATATAAGAAACACTTGCCTGGCCATGCTCTGCATGTCACCATCCATCCATCCTGTCTTTTCATTAAATTCTACTTCTTAAAATTTTTCATAATGCAGGGGGTGTGTGTGTGTGTGTGTGTGTCTCTATTCTACACACACATGTGTATGTGGAATTCCAAGTGTTCACAGAGACAGGGAATTGTGAGTTAGGGGGATCCAGACACCTGTGGAGCCAGCAACTGCTGAGACCAGACACTGTGAACAGAAATTCTTATTTTTCATTTCTGTTTTGTACATATTCAGTTTGCAGCAGTGGGCTTTGCCCTGAATAGCCAGAAGGGAACAGGATGTGGCTGATGTATCCTGCATGAGTGCTGGGATTTTCCCTGCCTGAGCTGACCTAATCAGCCAGACATATATTTATAGCTATATACATCTTGTGTGTATATTTTGGGAATACATGTTCAGTCTTGATAATGTGACAGACTTGAGGACATGGAGCTGCAGGAGCCTCACATTAATCAGGCTACCAGAGCTGGCAACTCCTACCAGCAAGTGAAAGATCATCGGATTGATCTGAATGTTTTCAGAAGACGCCACTAAAAATCCAACAAGGCACTTACAGAGATCTCTGTAAGATCTATGCAAGAAATAATTTGTTCCAACAAGAATGCTTCACTAGTATCTGTCAGTAGTTAAGATTTACAATCAAAAAAAGATCAAAGGCAAAGCAGGACGCCAGTTGGCCTGGCCTTGGGTCAATAAATCTTGCCTCAGTAATTTAACTTCCAAAGCAAATCAGAAGCAAACAGTACTCACTGAAATCAAGGTAGGTGTTAACATTAATCTATATGTTAAATTATTTTGTTCCTCCCTGTTAAGTGTGTACACTGAGGCTCCCTTACTGCTGTTTTGCAAAACTGCAATCTGTACATGAAAAACATGAAAAACACTGTTTCAGTAAGAAAGATTGATCTTTGAACCTACTGGACAAACTGAGCAAGGAAAAAAAATAAGAAAAAACCCCATTCATTAGTATTTTTTAACAACTAAGTTAATTTGACTACTAAATGAAACTTCATTTGCATTCCATTTCTAAGAGATACTAATTTCTCAGAATTGCAAAATTAAATCATCAATTTGTGTATTTAGTGCAAGAAATTAGTGATGAGTTTTTCCAAGACATTAGGCAATTACAAGTTTTGCTTCATTATGACCAAATCAGTATTTGATGGTGTTTAAAAACAATCACTTAAAAAAATACTATGTACACCAGTATTCCCAGAAATAACACACAGTTAATTAAAACCCAGAGTATGAAAAATGGAGATTTGATGTTATGTAGCACTTACATAAGGGGCCATTAGATTCCAGTTAACAACATTTTAATCCCATACAGTACTTAAGCAAAAAATTGCAACAGCATACAATAGGGATGAAACTTCAAAGTTCCACCTGATTTTCTCAACTGTAGAAAATCAAGGTGAAAAATTTTCCTAGGTCCCACAATTACCTGCAGATGGGCCAAGGAACATTCAGAAAAAAATAAGCAACAACCCTGTAGCTTTAAGTCACCATATCCTACATTTTGGAAGAAAAAGCTCTCCAGAAATTAAGGGACTCGTACAGCAATAAGGAATTTATGGCTTGAATCTGACCAACATGACCCAAAGCACAATCAGAGGGTTGTGAGCAGGACAGGACACATTCCTCTTAGGATTTCAAGGGCTTTGTGAGCAGTAGATTCCCCACTGCAGGTGAATATCCTCAGTCTGAAAAGAAACTTGCAGGATAGCAACTCTGAAATGTGTAACAGGAGCTCAAGTCTTGTGTCTTCTAACTCTCCCCTCCACAAGTTTGTTCCCTAAACCACACTTCCCATGGAAGAAGGCATAAGAAAGGAGTAGTTGTCCATTCTTACAACTCAAGTAATGTTATATTTGAGTCAGAGACTGAAATTCCAGTTAAGAATGAAGAAAAATTACGTAGACTGGAGAGTGTGATTGGATAAAGCTGTAGTGAAAACTTAAAATCAAAACTAGAAGCAACAGAAACAGGAATCCATTCTTGGAGGCTTATTCATACCTGTCAATTGATGATGGACTGATAGCAGCTGGTGCCTCAGGTGGTTTTTCTTCTGGCTTCTCCTCTATCGGGGCACTCACAGGTGCAGGCTCACAAGCCACTGCATCTGGTGCTGGTGGTGGAGGGACAGGAGCTGGCACAGGAGCAGGAACAGGGATTGGTGCAGCAACTGCTGTGGGAGCTGCAGTTGTTGAGCCAACAGTGGAAGTGGCATTTGACGGCTGAGTTGCTCCAGCTGCTGCTTTGGGCTACAGGAGGACAACAGACTTCAGGCACAGCACAAAGCTCATAAATCCATGGCTCTCTACAGGCAACCCACTAAGTTCTGTTAAGACCATTTGTGTTTGATATTGGTGCCTCTGCATCAAGCACAACATTAACGTGGTGCAAGACGTTAAACCTCTAACACCCTTCACTGTGTTCAAACAAGCAACTAAGGGCATCAGTGAAGCACTTAGAAACCTGAGAGCTCACATTGTGAGGATAAAGTGAAATGCAAAGATCTAAATATTTACAGACCACAATATTCTAAATATGAAAACAATCCTGTATTTTACAAAAGCACATTTTTCTAGACGAAACCAAATGAGCTGCCAAAAAAATCTCTGCAGAACTGCATAAGCTTTCCCCACCACTCGGATCTGGAAAAAAAGTGATTAAGAGAGAAATCACATTTCATTATGAATGCTGTTTGCTGAAAAACAAGATGCAAAAAAAAAAAAAATTAAACTTCACCTGCAACACGTTTTAGTTATGCAGTATTTGCATTCAGAGCACTAAAATAACATCTCAAATACTTCAGTTCTGAAGCAAGCACCAAGGATACAGCAGAATGAAGGACTACCAAATTTACAGCAGAATATTTAGAGTGAATAATACTTGTATGCAACAGTGAAATAACGTTCACATCTCTAATGGAAACTTGAATTTTTCTTGGATACAATATTAATTCCACACAGAAATAGCCCCAAGGGCTGACAAAGTTGACCCCAATCTTTTCATTTCCAAGAGAAATAGCTGAACTTTAACAAAACTACTTATTCAAGGTGTGTACCACTTTCAGACATTGCCTGCTTGAAGAAGAAAACATTTACTTCCTCCTTTTGTCTGCAAGGAGAGGTAAGCTTAAGAATGAATACCTTCCAACATGACAGGCACAGCAAATAACATTTTAAGCACTCAAAGAAAAACACTGACACAGTTGGAATGCAAGGGGGGTTATTTTCTGCTGGATTCCTAAACCCTTAATGCAACGTCAGAGCATCAGACAAAGTTAGCAGTCTGTGCCTACATGACTGGGCATGTCTTATCCACAATAGAATCAGGAAAGGGCAACTGAGCTCCAATACTAACAAAAAGATTTTAAGACTGAAGAAATACTGAAACTACAGGTCCTTTATTATCAGAATATACTGAATTTTGCAGTTCTTCATGGAGATCTGCATTTAGAATCACAGAATTGTTGAGGAAACCTCTAAAAAGATTAAATCTAACTCAGCACTGACACATCCACCACTAAACTTGTTCCCAGGTGCCACAGCCACACATTTATTGAATACTTCCAGGACTGGCAATTGCACCACTTCTCTGGAGTCTTCTGCTATCAACAAAATGAAAAACTGGACTCTGACATATCATCTGTACATGTTTTCTTGTACTGATAAATGCCTCTGTGGCAAACCACAGACTAGAAAGCTGTTCATTCGGAAAACAACAACAGTTATCTTTAAAAAAGATAAAAGATAACAACAGTTATCTTTAAAAAAGCCCACATTTAATTATGTTTAATATTACCAGATAGAAATAAAGGGCAACGGAATATATGTTTTATTTTTCAGGAGGAAGAACTCCAGCTTCAAAATAAATGTCATATTCCAAAGCACAGACGAAGCCAGTTTTATTCAGATGGCAATGGTCTGGAATGCCTGGAAAATCAGTGGCTTGATTCCTGGAAGCAGCCTGACAAGTGGTTCAGAGAAGAAATACTTCAAACACGTGTCACAGCCATTCCCTATAAATTGCCCTTGCAGTCTTTCAAAACCCATAGGTTTGTTTACTGCCAGATGTATCCTGTCTCTACTGGTTTATGCTGTTAGGTCTGAAAGAAGAAAAAGCCATGAACTATGAAAAGCAACATGGCAAGGCTGGAACAGTTCCATACAGAGGATTTAACAACAAACTACCTAGGCTGCCTTCTTCCTTTTAATAATAAAAGGAAAAAAAAAACAAAACAGAGAGAGAGAAGAAAGAATAAACAGTAAAATCAGCCATTAACAAGTTTTTTTATTTGATACAAACATTCAGCACAGAGCAGCAGCAAAAATCAGCCTAGGCAAACCAAGACTGTGAAGCAGTATTTTTTATCTATTCATACAAGCTTTGTACAGGACCTGAACTTGCATATGATGAAATCCCACTGGTTTTAAGGATGGCCATATACAATCACACATCACAAGAAAAAACAGAATTAAATTAATGAAGTTTCCTATTCAAAAGAAGCAATTACTCACTTTTGTCACCATAACCACAACAAAGTTCTTCTCATCTATCTTGTATTCTTTAAGAGCAGTTTCATCATTAAGGATTTTACCTGGGAAATTAAACAGGCAGAAATTAAGAAGTTATTTAGCGAATCAATAGATGATCTTGGGATTTCCACATAAAAAACATGTTTTATGCAAATTTTTAAACATGAAACAACCCAAGAAGAAGAAGTTTAGCCATTATGCTTTGGCAGTAGAGCTACAATTTTCCTCATGTGAGTGCAGAGTAGTGGATAGCTTGAGGGCTGCTGCCCTAAGTGCTGAAGAGGCTTTAAAACCATTTAAAACAAAAAGCATTAAATCTGAAAAGCTTCACTGGATCCTTAACAAAGACACATGTAATACAGAGGAGAGGTGTTAACACACAAAAAGCTTAACCAAATATGTCTGTATTGTATTATGCCTGCTTACACACAAAGGGAAACTCCTTTCCACTTATCTTCCATTTGCTCCTCAGATAAGAGCATTACCTGCAATAACAAGTGTGTGACCTTGCAACTTCAACGATTTGCAAGACTAAAACATTAGAAAGAGCTAGAATCATTCCAGAACTTGCCATCTTGACAGAAGTATGAAAAAGCTAACAGGCAAACCCAGAAACATTTTTTATACTATGACTTTTGATGTTTCATAAGCAGACATGGTACTGTGAAATAGATTTGCAACACTTCTGAAAGAACTTAGGAACACTATAAGCCATATACTTTTTGCCTTTTCTTAGAATAAACTGACTTAGAGGTAGAGCCACAAATCAGAAAATCAGGTCTGTACTTCAGTGAATTTTATAGCACTGATTGTTAGAATTTTCAGGGAGTATTTTACAATTTAAACTGATTAATTTTCTGAAGATGTGCCACAGACTGCTTCCATTTCACAACCTCTCCAGTGGACTGCAACTAGAATGACACATCCTTATCCTGAGGATTGCAAGGAAATAAAGCAACACAGACACTTTATGGCACTCAGAACACAAAAGACTGGTTCCACCAGTCCTGCAGGTCAAACATTTAAGGAAGTAATACATGTAGGGTAGTAATAGCAATACCTGTAGCATCTGACTCAGAACCTACATGGATTTACTCACAACTTTTTATAGGCACTTTGGGGAAGGCTTTAATAAATGTGTATGTAATATATAAAATATATACTTTATGGAAGGATATATACAGACATCCTGTCTTCTCAGAGCACACCACACTCAGGGTTTCTAGACCTCACCCTAATACAGATGTCAACACAATGGATCTGCCTCTCTAATCAAAGCCAGCTGGGGGTATCACTTTGCTTTAACAAACCATGAAAATTCTAAAGCTCATTTTAATAAAAGTAAAAATGTAATCATATACCCTCGTATCTCTTGTCCAAGAAAAAGAGAAAAAGACAGAATCCGTCTTTGGATAAGATTATATTCTCAATCTTATTCCCTATATTTCCTACTGCTTGTAGGATTATTCAATACTGCAGATGCATTCTGGCTTCAAAAAACATTCAAGTCATGTCACAGAATCTTATGCAATCTTTGATTTTTGCAATCACAGAAACACAATATTAAGAGTGCCATGCAGTTACACACATTGCACAAAGCCTTCTGCCTGGTTCACATTCCTTGGTTATGCATGAGATTTCCACCTTCATGTTCCTGATGTGCACTCCCCCCACTGAAGCACCAGGGAGATAAAGCCTGATATCAGACACAGTCTGATGTACAAACAGAGACTCACAACTTCTCTCCCATTAGCATCTCTCCACTGTTAACACTGGCTTTATTCATTACAAGCGAAAAAGACAATACTTGTTACAAAGCAGTACATAACAAAAGTAAAAAGTCCACGAAAACCTCTTTCAAGCTCAGTTTTAGAGGGGAAAAAAAACACTAGAGGGAGTACTGGAATAGGACCAAAGTTCTGACATGAAGAACAAAAAAATAGATTTCTGTATTTGCACCAGAATGAATAAGGGAAGTAAAATAAAGCTCAAATAAAGTTAATTTCGTGTTTTTAACTGACACTAGCCTGCTTTTTGCTTGTACATAATACACATTTCTAGTGACAGAGCTTTAAAGTACTGAAAGTACCTTTGTAGAGCAAGGATTTGGTGGTGGGTTTCTTCTGTTAATCCTAAAGAAATAATCTCTTTTTTAATTCTCTGAGGTATATACAGCAATGCTTCAGCTATACACAGCATAAACTGAACAAGAAAAGAATTAAGCAGAACAGCAGCTTTTACCTGCTTAAATCCTGAATTCTTATAACAAAAGCTATTTCTTCTTCACCCAGTTTACCCCCAAGTCATCCTGTTATAAGACCAAAGTTGACAGACACACATGTATTAAAACCTAAAAAATTCCAGTTCAAAATGAAGAGTTCCGTTCAACCTTGAGTTTGTTTTCGCATTTGTGGGGGCTCTTATCCTGCCTGTACTTCAGTTCTTAGAATTCTTAGAAGACTGAACATTCACATCCAAGTCAAACAACAACAATAAAATAAGGCAAGTTCAGATAAGTTACCTTCAGAATATCCATTACCTGCATAAATTAGTTTTTGGCCAGCTACTGGAAAGGCATCTTTCCCCCTTTCTGATTCAATCTTCTCTTTCAGTGCCTTCACCTAAAGCACAAAAACAGTCTTAATGAAAACAAAGTTCACAGCACAAACCTAATTAAGTATACTTTAAGTTTTAAATAGTGAAGAGTAGTTTCAATCATGTCTTGATTATGTCAAGTTTATCAGTCTTCTGAGTATGTCACTGTAACCACTTTGCAGAGCAACATGTCCCTTTCACAAATAGTCTCCTGGGCTGAATCAAATTAGGTAATTATTTTTTTCCATGAGAAGTTATTAGTATGAGTGTACAACACAGCGAAAAAGTAAATTAAAAATTGTTTTCATCTCTTGACCCATTTGCCCTGTTCTTTCCCGGAATGCAGAAGGTACACCTGCTATAAACAGCTGAAGGTTTTCATCATCATAACCACTTTTCAGGGAATGCCTGGGATTTTTTTGCTAAGATCACCATGACATTCAACCTTGAAGCCCCCATATGCAAAGCCTTGTGCAAAATGTTCAGAGGCTTATCTTACATAAACACTTTCCAACTCCTCCCCCTCCACCACAGTTTCTGGAGCTCCACACAGCAATTCTAAGCCTACACATTTACTTGCTTGCATGGACCACTGATGCATCTTCCAACACTTTTACAGCACCAGTAGCTCAAGTGGCACTGCTAGTTGTCATGTGTAAGAATGCCCCCAGCTCTCCAGAAAGTCTCCATAATCCTGTTCTGAGGAGGTAAAGCAAGCTCCTGTAAAAGCATTCACATCTGCTGTCATGTTTTAAGACAAACTGCCTGCACAAACAGTCAATTCTTCTTGCTTTCTTGCAGACTCTCCCTGTATACACAGAACAAAGACAACCAGTCTGTTATGAGCTTATTACTACAAGCTAACACCACCTTCTAAAGGGTTTGCTGGTTTGTTTTTTTTTTTCCTAAATATTCAAAAAACCTTTTTCATAAAACTCTGCAAGGATATAGAACGCAACATATTGCATCCCTCTATGGAACTAAACTAAAATAGGGAGCCAGGTCTTTTTCCCCAGCAGATGAAGAAAGGATGATTTTGGTATTTTGTATCGTACATGCCATCCCAGCACCTGCCAAATGCTTTGGAATTAGTCTCCAACCAGGCAGTTGCTTTCCCACAGCAAAACGAAGAGCAGCTCCCTGCCACCCCTGAGTTCTGAGGACAGTCAAATTTGACAGGAATTTGCTGAAAGCATCATCATTCTCATGCACTTACTTTACAACAATCTGTCCTATCTTTGGACTTATGTTTATTTTTAAAGCATATTTTCTTGAAAATTAAAAATATAGCTTGTTAATTCCTCCCCAATTTTAAGGATGGAAGTCACTCACGTTGCTACTGAACAATCTCCTTCACCACAGAGAAGCCACCAAGGATTTTTTTCCTAAACTTAAATATATATTATACTAATACTTCACATAACTTCATTTAAAGTCCTGCATACACTAGAGCAAATTAATCCCTTGAATGATGGCAAAAGCCTGTTATGTTTCCAAATGTCTACTTTTTAATACTCTCCTTATGTATTCCTACACTTATGCATTTTTACCAATCAAAGATAATGACTGGAGGCTACTTCTTTTATACCCAGTTACTATGTTAGTCATAGATTTGTAACAAGTATTCCAATGCCACTAACATGTATAATCTATTTTGTGGGAGAAAATTAAAATTTGTTTCATGTCCACTGCATCAATCAAGGTACTAGCTTCCAATAGCTGCTTTGTCTTCTTCATTTTCTATTGTTTTATTCCAGACAACAGTCTTATTCCCACAAGGAACAAAACCAAGATGTGTTATCTCAAACATTCATGTTTGAACAGCTAAAAGTCTAGGTCAGGACACACTGAACACACATGTTGATTTATTACACAATAACTGGATCCATGGAAAGGAGTTAAGATATTTACTGTAGGAGGATCCAACAATTAATTGGCCTTTGCTGACCACCTGTGTGTACGATTTCCCCTTATTATTACTGTGCTGTGACTGATGTACTGCAAGTGACCTGAGGCACTGCCTTCTTCCAAAACCTCCCAAAATGTTCCCCCTTCCATAAGTCTGCAATAAACAGGACTATGCTTTCATCCCTCTGGCAGGTGGCATTCATCTCCAGATGTAGGCAAACTTCCATTTACACCATGGGGCCAAAGGAAACGAAAAAAAAAACCTTTTTTGGGAATCTGTTCCAGTGTTTCACCATCCTCAGTGTACAAAATCCCTTGCTTACATCTACTCTTAACAGGCCTGCTAAAAAGTCTGTCCCCATCTTTCTTATAAGCCCACATTTGGCACTGGGAGGTTCTCCAAGGTCTCTCTTTTCCAGCCTGAACAACCCCATCTCTCTCAGCATGTCTCCACAGGAGAGGTGCTCCACTTTCTGAACATCTCCATGGCCTCCTCTGGACCAGCTCCAACAGGTTCACATCTTCCATGTGCTGAGGACCACCAAGAGCAGGCAGCCCCATGTTCCACAGGGTTACACCTAGGAGAACTAACGTGGCAGCCACAGGCAGTTTCATCCTTGTTGGACATTGAAGTGACTGTGCTTCAGCTGTACAGTCCCCTTCCACAATCCAAAAACCCTCTCTGCATACTAATACTGGCATAATTTTTATTATTGTGGTGGTCTAGGTAAGGACAGAATAAAGAGTTATACTAATTACTATGCAGTAGCTGGATCCACGTGAAGGAGTTTGGCATTTATTGACTCAATGAAGTAGCTATCAATGCAAATAACACCATGAGGTTACAGATCCATGGTGGTTCCTGAACATAAACTACAAGTTTTTTCCCTAAAGAACAATCTTTGGCTAGAGCTTGCCCATACAGAGGCCACCTTTAACTTCTTAATTCTTGGAAAAACTGGAAATCCGGAGGAAAATAGGCAGTTAAAATTTTCAGTGCTGGTCTTTATTTTCTGCCTGTATTCTTGCCACATGCATCAATCAGTTTAAGAACAGATTACATCCTAAATTGGAACACAAATGACTTCAAGTTCTCTGGCTGACAGCTTACAAAATTCTAAAAGAAATTTAAGCTTAACGTAACTGAGCCAATTTACACTATTTTGCTATCTATGCTCAGCCATTTGCAAAGGAAATATCATTTATACAGGTCTCACATTTAAATGGACATTCACTCTACTGTGAACTCTTACCATCCAAAGATACCAGATATATTATGGTGACTGACAGTAACACACCATGGGCTCTGAATTACAAATTAAAAATTCTGTAATGTTATTCAAGTTGCTCCTTTAAAACTGAAAATGCACCAAATAGTCAAATAATTTCCAGATTCGATTCAAGAGCATTTCAGAGCATTGCTTAACTGCTTTATAAAGGATAGTAATTTAGATAAGGGAATCTGTCATATCTCTAATGAATACAATGAACTGATTGCATCACAGCTATTCAAAGGAACAAACAAAAGGACTTAAACCAACTCTTAACTACTAGAGCTTGAACCTGGAAGAAAATGTAGCCAGCTGCAGACTTCATCATTCTCCTATTAGAGACAAGTTCAAGAAACACTCAGGCTAAAATAAAAAGCCCTTGCCTATTCTGGCTTTCATCACTGCCTAGCCTAAGAGGCCAAAAACACATCATTTGCAGAGGATACAATACTTATTTTTCAGAATAAAAAGAAAAGGAATAGATAAGATCAGATACATCAATTTTAGCAGTAACATTCCAGTGGCATAGAATTTCCTCTTGTAGTTTTAACTGGAGTGACTGAAAGCATAGTGAGGTATGCCTTCATAATTCTGCTGAGAGAAGAAAATGCATGATGGTGCAACAACCTGTAGGTCAGACAGTAGTCTGATCCACCTTCATTTAGATTTAAACCATAGATGTTCCATTTTCAAGGAAGAATTAAAAAAACAAAGAAAGAGAGAGAGAGAGAGAGAGAGACAGGGAGAAGCCTTCTCAATGCTTTTCAGAAAAGACAGCTGCATCTTCCAGCTGCTGGTGCAGTGAACTGAAAAAAGCAACATCCTAAACTTTGCCTCTAGCAAATTAGGTTGCTGAGAACCTAGACTTCAGCACCACCATTGGTTATTAAGTGAAAATTAATTTTGGGGAAGCACACCCAGCACATTGATCTGTCAAACTGAGAAATCATCCATAGGTTATGATTTATTTTTCTCATAAATACAGATCCATAAGCCAAACCTTCAGGCTTCCTAGCTTTATTCAACCTGATTAGGGTTCAAAATGTATTTCAGTCCTCACCAAATCCCATTTTTCCTCTGCCCTTAATAAAATTTCACTGCACAATAAACAGAGCCTGTACTTCATGGCAATACCTTTAAAAATGAGCATCAATTCATCTACAAACACTTTACCTTAAAGATTCAGAAACAACACACTTACAAGTCAAGATGACTTTTTTCTGTCCCCTATGAATTTAGACTCCCTCAGAAACTGAAGGCAATGTCCTTGAGAATATATGCCATGCAATCTGTTTAATAAAGAGCTAGAGCAAATCAACTCCTAACTGAAAAAACTGAGGTCTTCCAAAGAAACACCAGTCATCAGCTGCATCCCAGACAGGCATCTAAAAATGGGTTTCATGAAATCACCAGTGCTGAGTTTCGCAGTTGTTCCTTGCAGTCACTTTTTGCCAGCTAAGCCAGCAGGGCACACTGGGTTCTGTCCAGGGAAGAGGTTCCCATGGATCAAACACTCTCCCCCTCTTCCCTCCCACACACCAGTTTTCGTTTCTCCTACCTCATATAAATGCTAACACAGAAGAGGCAAAAATCATCAGTTTATTCAAAGCCTCATTTCATAAATCCTAATGAAAATGTGAACAGGGTACTTTCAATGGTTTTAATGGATAATTACACAGGCAAGACAAATTGCTGAATTTCTTGAGATGCTGGGTGAAACTGAATACAAAATGGGAGAGGATCTCTTCTGTAGACATCAAGCCACAAGCACACCTTCCACCCCACAACCCTCATCAGGAATCTGATGTACCCACAGATGTTTGCTACTTCTACTAAGAGGCTGCTACAAAGTTTACTCTGATATTGGAAGTCTTCTCCTAGTTTCCCCCACAAATTAATTCCCAGACTACTAATACTGATTTTTTTCTTATGTTGATGTTGTAATTCAAGCATGAGTAGCATTCCCACATCCCTTGGTGCTTACTACCATAAGACATTTACACAATTTTACCAGAACTTGTGAGCTAAGCTAAGCAGGTCTCTTTAGTTTCATGTCAGAGTCAGTTTTCCAGAGGCTCCAGGCATCTCTTTCCAAAGGCAGAAATTCATTGCCCTTGGGAACAGGTGGAGAGCACATCTGAAGCAGAGTAGCATCACTACTCTCCCTGGACGTTTCAGGATCTGTGATCTTCAGGGCTTCACCTTTTAATGAACCCAACTCCAATCAATCAATGCTGCTCACTCGAGAGCCGCTTACCAAAGTCTGACCCTCAAACAGGCAGCCAGGCACTAATGTCAAACTTCGTGTTTGTCAATGTCATCGTGCTTCTGTTCATTTTTACTCCAATTCTAATCAAATCAATTAAAGGACTGTGCAGAGATGCATCCCAAGACCAAGTCTGAAAGACCCTCACTACCAACCTACCAACTGCTGAACTACTTCTCTTTGAGAATAAATGCTGCACATAGGGTTTTTTTTTTTCTTTAAATCTACCTTATAATTCTCTGTCACTCTTCATATTTTTCTGTAGAAGGCTAACAGGTTTCTTCCAGACTTTGGGAAAAGTCATAGCTAGACATGGACAAAAGCTTTTACTCCAAAGGGCTTTGCTCTTTTCCTCCTCCCTGAGAGAGGGCATCACAGTCTGAAAACTTGTTTAGAATTTAGCTTTGATATTCCTGAATTTTCACCTCCCATTGCCCTTGCAAAAATATTTACCACATGTTATACTGCCATATACACACTGCTCAAAGTCAGGCGAGGACAATGCAGCTGTATCAGACAATAAACCTGCTAATGAAGCAACAAACTGACCAGTGCAACAGGTTTTACTACCCTTAATCAAACTCCATGATCAGCAACTGATTAATGACAAATATTGTGCCTACTACTGAAAACACACAGAGGATAAGAAACTACTAAGCTCATAAATCAATGCTTTACAGTACTTTTACTGGTAAGAATGCATTTGGTTCCAGCTACTTCTTTCTACAAATTAGAAAAGCAGGCTTTTCTGGCACGAAACTCCATTCACAGTGTTCCCTTATATTATCTTTCTAAACAGGACACTCATATTCAGTCAGAAGGCAATCATGGTGGTTACATGAACAGATCACTGCCCTACTTCAGGCCTCAAAGGCATAACAGATACAGTAATTGGGAAGAACCACAGGAGAGGAAGAGCCTTGTTAACCCAGCCAGGTTTACAATCTCAGTAAGTGCCTGGAAAAAAAAACCCAGTTGTACTCAAATAAACAAGGCATCTAGAATTACTCCAGCATTTAAAAACAGACAGGATAAAGCATTCATAACCTCCTTTATTTACTTGCTGTATTTACTGTTGTTGAAGTGTGCATACAAAGAAAGAAGCATCCTCTTCTGAAGAAAAACAGTCTGGAATTGTCAAGGTAAAAATCCAAATTTAGCCCTGACATTTACTTTCTCTGCAATTACCTCTACCTTTCTAATTTCCTCCACAAAATTGAGCTCATCTACACACAAATGAAATTTTTAAGTCTAGTAGTTGTTATGCACTGACCAGATATCAACAGAAATAATTTCTGATCTCAAAGCTGGCCTCCAGGCCTCCACACACTTCTGCCCTGCATTTCAAAATTGATCTAAGCCCTGCCAGAAAGAGGAGACACTGAGGCCAGTTTTCTGATGCAAAAAGGTGACTAAAAGAGCTGCATTCATGCAGTTTTATACTAACTAACACAGGAACACAAATTTCAACCTAAAGCAGAGCTTTCAGCTATCTGCAGCTTGAAGAAAAGCAGCAAGATGGACATTCCTGCCTCTGAAGCCACAAAGGCTTGTTTTAGGAAGGAAGCTAACACTCTGAGTGGTGACTCTTGCATGGTCTCGTTGATTAGGACAAAAAATCCTCCTGTAGCTTTGGGCAGACAATTTTCACAACAGGCACATTCCCCACAAACCCATTTACAAGTATAAAAGTGACACAGCTATTTGAGTATGAAGAAGACCGACAGGCCACTGATCAATTCTAAAAAGACACTTAAAAAACCCTTCTGCAACACTGCAAGCTGACCTGCCAGTTGGAGGGTTGCCTCAAAACACAGGGAAAGACAAAGAGAAGGAGAACCAGAGTCAGTGTGTAGCCAACACTCTGTGTGCTCACAGCCACAGCAAGCCCTTCCCTCTCCTTTTCCCGTTCCTTTGGTGCTCCCTGCAGGGCAGCATGCAGAGGACAGTTATCCTTACAGGCTCTAGGTAAGACAGGCTGCACATCACCACATCCTGTGAAATTGAGAGATTTGTTTCACCGAGTCCACTCCACCCACAGGAACCTTGACCAAAGGCACAAACCTTGGCGAGAGAAAACATTGCCAGGGGGCTCTAACTTTACACCCCCCTATCTCACACCTAAAGATACCCTTTTCTGTGTTTCAGGAATTTAAAAAAATATATATTTTCGAAAGGTTTGTCAGCAAACACAGCCATTTATGCACAAGGGCAGCAATGGGACTCCAGACAGTAGCTGGATTATCTGCTCATATCAATTCTTTTTAATTAAAATGTACTCTCCACTTTCACCAACCTTCAAAGGGAACACCTTCCAGCCTGTTGTTATCCATATCAAGGACAGATACCTTTGTTTTCCAGTCATACCTGCAAAACAGACCTTAATATATATAGAACCATCCTTAAGTGTGTACAATCTCTATATCTAGATATATTCATTAATAATATTTAGATATATGTGTACAATCTCTGTGTTTAACTTCTCAGTGTTCTGGCAACCTTGGGAATAGTGGCCCAAGACAGTTTAGATTTTGAGGAATACAGCACATAATACTGCCAAATTATTAAAAGTACAAAGCTAACTTTTATTTGCTGACAGCTAAATTGGATAAGAAGATTCTCTATAAAATAGTTGAAAAATTATGGGCACAGCCATGGCATTTGAAAAATGGACAACATATAAAAACATATTCCAATACGAATAAAATAATTTTAGTTGTATTAAGTAATTTATGCTATCTTATCCTTTCCATTTTTAATTTTTTTTAAAAAATATGTCATCCTACCCAAATTTCTTTGGAAATTCTATTTAAAACACTCCCTAGAATGTCAGGAAAATATTCCTGAACGTGTGAAAACCTAGCCTTCTTCAGCCAAGAATCAGAACTACTTCCTTGCTTGAAAATCCTAACTCTAACCAGGAAACAGAAAAGGACTACACACCAAAGAAAAGCAGTAGCAAAAAGCCTCTAGAGACTTAACTAAACAAATATGAATTGTAACAGACCATAACTCCAAAAATGCTACAGTCTATGAAGAAAGCATGAAAACAATGAAAGAAAAATGTAGCTACTCTTACTCTAGTTATCTCTGAAGTTACAATTTTGCAGAGTCACATATCAAACCACAAGTAGCAAGTGCAAGTCCTTCAAATTCACACCTCCTCCTCCTCTGCAAGCACACACACCCCCCCCAATAACAATAAAATCCTAAAGAGAGGCAAGAACAACAAAACAATCCTCCAGAAGTGGAGAAAAATACTTATTGTACAACCCAAAGAGCAATTATAGAAAAATGCCAAGACCTGAAACAGAAAAACATCTTTAACCTAGAAGGGTATTTCTGGATTTTGAACTGAGCACTTTTCCTCTAAGCACTAAAATGATAAACTCTCAGGAAAATACAAAAACAATCCTATTACCCACAACTGCTGTAAGATTAATCTGCACTGAAACACATGTAGGAAGGAGGTTATCAAGAGTACATTCATACTCACTCACAAGTTACAAGCCCTGGAGTCAGCTCGCACCATTTCCCTCATCAATAGTCTCTGATTCTTCCAGAACTGTTACAAAATCAATTATTCTGACACAGTAACATTAGCATCCAGAAATCTCCATAAACACATTTAAATAAAGCACACACACACTATGGACACACCAGAACACAGCAGAAGCTCAAACTTCCACAACTAAGTGTTCTGCTGACATGGTGTTAAACAAGCTGGCTTTTCCTGGGTGTTCAAGAGCTGTGGTGGAACGGTGAAATGTGAAAGCCCATATTATGTGACATAGAGACTGCGGCCGAAAGACTGCTGACATCCTGAATATTCCCTGCACTTCTCTGCATTTTGACAACCAGGTTTTTGGGCTAACAGCACAGGGGGAGCTGAAAACAGAACAGGACAGACTTAACTTTTGCCCAGTGTTTCACTTTCAGAGTTAAGAATGTTTGTTCAAGACTTCTAAAACCCTGCTTAGCATCTAGATAGTGATAACTACAACAGAAATGCTACATTTAGAAGCTTACAGTGTCAGCACTGTCACTTCAGACAAGAGATGTGGCTACACAGGCCTGCATCAGTGTCAGACAGCGCTTGTTATTCCTTCCTAACACAATGTTTCACGTATTTACTTTCTCACAGAGAGCCAACAAAAAGAAGCAGCAGCTTGTGCAGATTGATACATGCTTTCATTTACCCTGGTTAAGTCTGAGCGCTCAAGCCCTGCGTGGCCCCGCTCAGAAGACCAGAATGGCCACAATAGGTATATGCACCCCTGTGTGGAGCTTGATGGGTGCATCACAATACTTCAGGAAAAACAGCCAGGCTTGCGAAAATTTCATTTGATAACGGGCTTTCCCCAATAATAGGCCCTGAGGCTAAATCTTTTCATCTTCTTTAGTCAGTCAAGAGTACCAGACAGGCTTCACCCAGTGCTTTGTCAAGCAAGATAGCTTCAAGTACAGTTTTTATTCACTCAAAATACTCAAGCTTGCTAATGTTTTAAAACACAACCAAACCAAAACTAGAGTCACACTATTGAAGGAAAGTTTAAAACTCACCTGTGTGATTTAATAGGAAAAAACCCCCACCAGTTGCTTGTGCAAAAAGCTAAGCAGCAAGGCTAGTTAGTTATTAGGATGTGTGTTGCTTCAAATTCTCATTGGAGGTTGGTTTAAACATTCTTATCAACAACAGCTCTCAGCTACAAGCATCAAATATTGTCAGAATGCTACCTTGCACAGTAACATCGAGTCTCTCCAGATTAATTTGGTACTGAGAGTAAGGGGAGAAAAGGAGCATGAAAGCAATTTTACAGAAACAGAACCCAACTTCGGATCAACAGGTTTCCTGTACCTATCGCAACTACGTGATTTTTGGCCTTGTCACAGCACAGGGCAGAAATCCAAGTAAACAAGCCTACCTCTGAGAAACATACACATGGTCCAAAGACTAAAAGTAATGTTCCCCAAACTACATGAAACACATTTCAAGATCTCAGGAAATTAATCTAAGAAACCAGTGCAGATAGCTAAAATTTGTGTATTCGAAAAAATCTGACTGAGGACTTGAAAGCACACACTTGTGAGGCACTTCCTCAACACAGCATATTTCAAATCGTTTTCTGATTTTTGACTCAGTTTGTAACTGAAGGCTCAAAGCTGAACTTCTCTTTATTAAGTCAATATGATTTTTAATACTTCCAAGAGTAAGTTCTTCATAATTTTCTAAAAAGTGTGCCACAGAAATTTAAACAGGTTTTTCACCTCTACAGCTAATAACATCAGGTCTTTATCCTGCTGTTTTTAAAACAAAGTTCTCCTCAAATTCTACCAGATTTCCTTTGTCTTACCACCCATTCCTGGCCAAAACCTGAAGTTATGCTCATGAGGAGTATTTTAATTTTGAACTACTGTAGCAGCTACATTTATAAACAGAGGGTGCAGTCTCATTTCCCACAATCCAACTTGTAGTCATTGCATTCTGCTGTCTCATAAATTGGTGAGGGCTTTGACTGGTAACATTCCTTCGGTCCTCTCCTTGAATTTACTTCCCAGGATTTTACTGAATGCAGAGAGGAAGAGAGGGAAAAAAAAAAAAAAAAAAAAAAAAAAGAGAGTTTTCTCAGTAACAGTAAAGACTTATGGTTTAAATATTTCTAGGTTTCTGACCCATGTTTCTCCTAGGCATTTGACATGTCTCTCAGTCACAATAATAACCCAAGTGAGCTCTTAGTCCAACATACAACTGTCATCTTTTATTTTTCTTAAGGTGGAAGAGGGTAAACCAACAGACTTTATAAGAGCAGATAATAGTTCCATAGTTCCTAGAGCTTCACTGCCCACCTGCCACAGGAAAGGCTGCTGGAAAGAGAAGCTTCCAGCCTCCCCAGATCTTTCAAACCAAGGCCACAAGTGTGTATGGCCTTGGCTATCAGATCGACCATCCCTGCTCAGGCAAGTGACAAGGCAACTTCCAACCCTGCCAACTCACTTAAGGCCCTTCTCATCTCAGAATGCTGCATTTCCCTGAGGATTTTCCAGCGGGCTCCCGTGTGCCTGAAGAAAACATTCACCTGGAAGCAAAACATGTCTCCTCATTCGCAGCATCATTACACACATCCAAAGGCAGCGGGGAAGGGGAACGAGGCTGCTGTGAACCCCACCACACACGCCAACACCAGCTCCACCGAGGTCAGCAGAGTCTCTCCTGCACTCCCTCCCCTTCTAAGTGCAGACTGATTAATCACTGCAGCTCGCCCCGTGAGGCCAAACAATAAACCCTCCTCGCACTCTCCCACCTCCACAGCACACACCTGCCCGGGCACATAGCGATGCACCTGGGAGCAAACACCAGCCCCTCTCCAGATCACGCTCCTGCCCTAGCAGAAAAGCCCCACAACTCCCCCAGCGTTTCCCTTGTGGGAATCCACAGAAGGATGGGAAGGACCACCACGTTTTCCTCCTGCTGCACCCCCAGCCCCACCCCGGGAGAGAGGCAGTCTCACCATATCCCCTCTCCCAGTGCTCCCATTGTAAACCAGCAGCGATCTGTGCCCCACTGACTGCTAACCCACGGCACCCCGCCCCCCGAAAGGAAAAAACTTTCCTTTCCTATAGCGCTCCTCTCCTTCCCAAGACTACGTGAGATTTTTAGCCCCTCTCCCACCTCCCGGGCTATTTCCCCTTTCCACCTCAGAGCTATTCCCGCTCCCACCTCCGGGGCGTTCTCCTCAAAAACAAGGGGGGAAAAAGTCCTTCCGCCGAAGGTTTGGCCACGGCAGCCTTTCCTTCGGCGATGGGAAGTCACTCTTACCCCAGCATCCCGAGGAAAAGGGGTCCCTCATCACCCCCGGC